CATATTTCAAAGTAGCCATGGTGACACCAGTCCAGACTGGAGAGATTCGGGAAGTGCTTAAAAAGAGCAGGCATTCTGCGCCACTGACCAAGGCAACATATTTAAAACAGCGTTAAGACACAAAGACCACAATTCTGTCAAAAGGTTTTCTTCAGATTAAGTTTCCATAAACCTGATTGGTGAAATTCATATCGAGATTCTAACTGGAAGGTCTCATACTACCTGTCACTTTTTTGTTTTTCAATTTGAGTTGAATAAAATAATGTTTATTGAATAATAATTCCTTTTAATAAAACAAAACTATTAAATACTGTATCAAATCAAAGTATAGACAAATATACACAAATACTATACACATATATACACAAATATAAATTTACGATGATATATTATGCATTTTAGAAGCTATGGCATTACCTTCCAGGTGACTAAGTCAGACTGATGACGAATTCTTCATTGGTGAGTGACCCGGAGGGGTAGGAGCCCATGCCTGTCTCCAGCAGTTCACCAGTTCAAATCATGCAGCCAGTGAACTAAGTATATCACCACTGGGCCCCTGAGCGAGGCCCCTAACCCCAAAAAGTGCTCCAGGGGTGCTGGATAAATGGCTGACCCTGCGCTCTGACCCCAAGATTTACTCTCACCTACATACTCTATGTTTGAGCGTGTGCATCATAGGAGAGCTCAACTGGGATATGCGAGTACTGAAATTTCATAGTACTTGCTACCTGTATAATGACGATAAAAGGATTCTTTTTCTATGTCTTTAAGTTCAAGTATGTTCCTTTGTCCAAAATACCACCAATATCTCTTTAGACAAAACCAATGCTGATTTGTGACTAATTTTGAAAATCGGACCATTGTTATAATAGCCATAAATGTAATAATAATGATAACAGTAATAGTAATAATAATCATAATTATTATTATTGTTGTTATTATTATTGTTATTGTTGTATAGATACATCAATGTTTTCGTTCTGAAATTAAAATACGATATCAGTAACATATTACTAATTACCATTAATACAGAATACTAATTGCCTCTATCAGTTTTATCTAAACACAACACTTCTCAAAAATGATTATAAATGTTATCATGACATTTCATTAATGAATACCATACAGATGATAAGTACTATATTTGAAAACTGCATTAAATAATTCTTCAACATCAGAGGCGATACAAACTGCTATTGAAATTACAAACAGCCACTGGCCTCATTAACAACAGGAATAATTTTTTGGTAACGCTGCAATTAAAATAATACGAAGATGATAAATAACACAAGTAAGCTTAATAAAGTATTAAGGAACAGTTGCATTTACAGAATTAGAAGACAAAAAGAAATACTTCTTCAATAGGTACAGGCTATTCATGAGTATAACTCAACATAAAAATAAATCAATTTTATATGTTTTTCAATATATATGAATTATATTTTTTTACAACAATTTATAAATGGATTGTTACCTATTCTGATAAAGAAATGTCTGCAAAATTATAAGTTAAGAGGCATAGGTACCCAAAGGCAAATGACATTTTAAATTCCCAGCTTTACCCAAAATGAAGAAGGGGAAGATTCTGAAAATTATGCATAGTAAACCTTATTAAGAGCAAAGAACAAGTGGTAACACTGTTTTAATTAGGTGTATAAAATGTGTCCATGTTGGTCACTTGAATAAGAATATATAGCTGATCCGTATCAATACTAACCTGTAATTACCATGAATGTAAACAAGGTAACATAAAAAAAAACAATCCAGCTATTGAAAAGGTTACAATGTAAATGTAATGCTTTTGAAAATGTAACTCTATTATCTGTATTACTTGTATTATTAGTGTTATACAGTACTAAAAGAAGTACTAAGTACTATGTTATACAGTACTAAAAGACGACAGAAACACATTTGATTTGTTTCCCTACTTCAAGTAACCATGAAAGGAGAGGGACCCATGACAAACACGAAAAGCCAAAGTCTCGCTGGGTCCCTGTCTCCCACACAGGGGCCCGTCTCCCAAAACCAGCGGAAAGTGGACCTCCAATGCAGCCCGTGACAAGGGCAACAGAGAGAGAGAGCCATTTCCATTCACGACTCACATTCGTCTTCATAAAACAACAAACCCATGGCCTAATTTTTCTCAACAATATATATATGAGCAATATTAGCATAAGGCATAGCTTTCTATCCTATGGTGTCACATGGTGCTATTACCTGTAGAATGACTGCGAAAAGAATTCAAGAAACAACAAACAAAAAAAAAAAGTTTTTTTTTTTTAATCCACAAGAAGCTCAGAAGAAAAGAATTTAGCCAAAAGACCAGCTTGTATTTACCTTTGCATCACAATGAAATATGAGAGAGAGGAGTGTGTGAGGTAAGCTGAGTAAAACACACTAAATCCTTTCATTTGTACAGTCATGTCTGAGGAAACTTTCCTTCTGCTAACACCTTTCTCTTTCTCTACAATTGCAGCAATAAGGATGGTATAATTTTCCATTATAAAGCAAATTCACTCTCTTTACACATTGCAAAGCATATTCATATATTGAAATTAAACTTATTCTGAAATGTATTTGATATTGGTCTGGCTATTTTCAATAAAATGTAACTGGGGGCCCAGTGAGTAGCTTTCAGTTCACCTTGTGAAACTGTGAAGTTAAAATTCACTTATCTCTAGGAAAAACGTTTTGCATATATGATTTTGAAAGGTATTTAGAACAATAATCAGTTAAAGGTATACCTTTGTCATATACTTATTCAATATACATTCCCATATAAAATCTGTGGTGACATTTAACATATTAGTGACGTAGGGAGGAATACACACACACGCACATACACACACACACACACACACACGTATATAAATAAATATTCTCCACTTTTTTCTATACTCTCGTAAAAGAGTTTATCTCTTATGAGCTACATAACCACGTGTTTTGTAAAAGTTTACTTTGAACATGGTTTTAAACTATTCTCCCATCAATAATGCCAAGTATCCATGGCAACACTGGAAATTGTTTTGGCATTTGGGAACAGTTCTGACATTAGAATAAATTATCACTTTTCAAATGTTAATTAATCATATAGTAGCTCTGAACAGTAACTTTCTAACACACACTGTTTCCCCAGAACACAAAAAAATGCATCGTCTGTGCAATAACTCCCTTTCTATGATATTTTGTGTCATTTTAGCAGATTACATATAAGAACCTTGCGGTTCCTTTATATGTATTACAATTCCATTTAGAGATTTTAAAAGAAAATAATGAAAACAACCTTTAAATCATTTAAATTCTACAGAAGTACAAAAATAAACATTTACACTTGCTTTATTCAGCAGACGTTTTTAATCTTTAACACAGATAAAATATAGTGTCTATAGACTTCTTGGTGAGAGCCAAAATAACACTCACATATGAACATTTGATTTCACTTTGATTGTTCCTACCAATGCCGGTGTAATTGATTCATTTCATTTGTAAAGTAATTGTAATGTTTTCTGTTTTTCAATTTTTGGAAAAAAATTATAGTATCATACATATTAATGTTTGAATGTATCTCAAAATACTATCACGATTTAAAAAAAAAAAAAAGAAGATGATGAAGAAGAAGAAAAATAACAGGAAAGGTAACGCTAAATGTTACGAAAGGCTGAACAAAAGCACATCATACGCCATCAAACGCCAGCTTAGCGCAAGCGAGGTAATAGAATATTAGGACCACGCTAAAGTCCACGTGAGCTGGTGGGGAGGCGGGGCCTACAGACACGCTTGAAGTTACACGCCCTGTGGGTCAGGCTGGTCACATGCCAGAGGCATGGTGTCTGTGGGGCGTGTGACAGCGGCGCTGTGTGACGGGGAACCACCGATCGGTGACGAAACGCATATATGGGGAATACTGGCATCCGCGTAAACCACAGTTGCTGGTTAACACGCTGTAGTTTTCCCCCTGAATAAAGTTTGTACGTTGATACTTTGTCTGAGGGACTGGCGGCTCCGATCGACCAGATTTAATCAGCTTTCAGACCAACTTAATCTACTGAGAGTTTTACTCGTCTGGGAAAAGAACCGGGAGTTGTGCAACTTTACAACAATACTGAACAAAAATGAGAAAATACTTTACAAAGTTTAATATGCATGGAGAGTTACGTAATCCTAGTATTACTTATTACCTCATATATAATTCCCTTTAGTTTCAGAATTTTAGTATGAAGTACAGTAAGAGAGAAAAGCAATTGTTGCTCTGTCAGGACTGAGAAACGTGCCGTAATTGCCCGGTCAGTGGAAATTGTTGATGTGATAACATTTCACTGACTTTCGCTTTGTATAGGATATATATATATATATATATATATATATATATATATATATATATAGTTAATTTTCCGTCTCTCCCGTCCGACAAATGTTACTTAATTTCTACCACATCCAGACACATCCAGACATTACACAGGTCTTTCATAAACAGCTTCTTGAAGGCATTTACACAACAGTCGTCTTGCAGTACGTTTTGGGGACCAAAGGAAATCTCGTCATTTGATTTTTAAGAAGTGTATGGTATATTATTTCCCCAGGTTAATATTTGAATTATGATTAATTGTGGTGGCAGTAAAATTAGTATAGAAATTATGGCTATTTCAGGTAAGAATGTCAGTTGATGCTATAGGTTGTTTGACAATTCATAATTTCTTTAATAATTTATGCTGAACATGTGTAGGTTTGTTAAAATCAGACATTTTTGTTTTTATGAGGCGTTTTGTTTAAAGTGCACCGCAGTGATCTTTATAAAAAGCTTCCCCCACCTCTGAACCTGTAACAGTTTTTGGATTGATCAGCCGACTTAAAAGTGTTCCGTAGCAGCCTATATGTCATCCCCATGTCAGAAAACAAGACGGCACTGTTTTTTTTTTCATCTATTATCTCGGCTATTGACAACCTTTCCCTTTCCAGTTGTAGGACTGGAGCTCTCACTAGCGCTGCCAGTGGACGAGCAGACCCACACACCCACCGCTGCCGCGATCTCACACTCGCACTTCTTAGTTATACTCTAAAATAGGCGGCGAGACCCGAGCGTCGGAGCTCGCAATTTATAGAAACCCGGCGTGAAACCGTTCGCTCCGGCAGTTAAGATATACATTCGAGTTTAAAACATGGAGTCCCCTCCAGATCCGGCAAATGACACGGGCAGCGGCGCTGCGGAGCCGGCTACCCCGGTCAGGGACACCCCGGTTAACCTGGAGACTCTCGGAAAAACTGACCAGCAAGCCCCGGTTCGAAGGCAGAGCTGTTCGAGCACCAACAGAGGTAAGATCCCAAAACATATCTTTTAGACATATAACAGTAATGACATCTGATGGGAAAAAAAAAAAAAAATCGGCGAAGTTCAAAAGAACTGCCGGCTCCCTATGTGAACATGGTAAATGACCGCAGTTTCGGGAGCTTCGGGGAATCGATTTCAGCACCGTCCAGAAATTAAACTTCCACTCCAGCGACTAACGTGACAGCCGCCGGATCGCCACTTAAATTCGCAGCCGCCGCTTCGGTGCGCCATTTGGGCAGATTCACCGGCCGTCCTGAGGGTTAAAAAGTAGCAACAGGATACGACATCTGAAACAAAATACCCCAAAAAATATATAACAATAATGCAAACGATTGGCAGTGTTTCTGCAGGACTGCTCGCAGTGCGCGTTCGCATAGAAATGCTTTTATTTGATGCCCTTTTATAATCTGATCTCATGATTTCTGCTTAGATGCTTGTGAAAGTGGAACTTTTTGGGGGAGAAGTATGACTGCCACTTGGAAGTAACATAGCTAAACTTTTCTCTCCCGTTTGCGATTTGACAGCAGCGGGATGCTGTCGGCGGGGCTGCTGCCCTGGATGCGCATATATGGACGCCTTTTTTTGCAATAAACCGGCGTGTCTTTTACTTGCTCATACATACCTCTGCTCCAGCTAAACAGGCTGCCTTGACATATTCCAGCACCTAACCTGACGGGTTGCCAGCCGTTTCATCACGGACGGACAGACCGCATGCGATAATTTTCCCCGATCGTTTAAAAATCCATCCAATATGCTTTGAATATTCTTTAAAATATTAATGCTAAATATGGCTGATTATTTGATGTCTGTTTAGGCTACAGACAATATCTCCGGCTAGCCACACCCCCTGTAGACAGCCTCCATTTACGCATCTAACGCAAGTTAGAGCGGAAAGATATTCATGCACTAATATCTACATTGATTTTTAATAAGGTTGGTGGACGAAATGGCACAGACAAGCGGAGCAGTTTCAGACACGGACGCGTCTCTTTGTGCACATTTCCTCAGCGGATGGGGTATATTTAGAGTCTGATACGTTGAATGAGGAATGTAAGCCGGTTATGTAACAGGTTTAGCCATAAACCGGAGGCAGGAGCGAGGGAATATCCATTAAAGATCTTTCCATTTTTTTTTTCAAGATGACGGAAAAAAATCACTTCCCTCCCCCGGCCGTTTGACGTGGTTTCAGTAGCGGGTTTTTAGAGCCTGTGATATGTGGCGATGATCCGCTGTTAGAGAAATGAGGGACATTGTTTCACTTTAACTTGGTGGTTCCCTGCCAGGTCCCGGTTATGTAATAAGCAGGGGCAGGTAGGACTGCGTTCGCTCCCTTGAACATTTTATTTTATTTGATATAGTTTTTTTTTTCTTTTTTTTTTTTTGGGGGGGGGGGGGGCGCGCATGTGATCTGGCGTTTGCATGAAAGGCATCTGACTCCCAGACACTCCTAACCCGCTGACCCATATTCGCCCCGTTTGCGATCTGGATTATAGTACCCCGGGAAGCAGAGACAGTCAGAGAAACGCCTTCCCATGTGTTATGTAACTCATTCGGTGGAAAAAAAATGAGAAAAGAGGCGGCCTCCAGTTGATTCAATCAGAGAGTTTTGCGAAAATGTCTAAATCCAAAAATCTTGACCGTACACATAAATATGACCAGTCTTCAACACCTATGCTTTTTTATATTTGTATTTTTTCATAGAGAAATATTTTACTGTCCCTATTCAGCTAAAATCATGTACAGTGATTATTTAGTAATACCCTTGGTCTTAATTTACACGTAATAATCATTGCTGAGAGATCTTAACGTATTTTCGCTACGTTTTTACGTATTTTCAGTTTTATTTCAGTTTAATTCTATACCAACCACTGGCATTACGTGTAAGCAACTAGCAGGGCTGCTTATTGCGAGAATACTTTACTCTCATGTGAAAAAATAGTTTTAATAGTCTTGTTTGAGCGTCAATATTGTCTCAGTACTGCATCTGTTTGAGTACTTTTGAGGTGTGGTAAAATTATTGTGTTCTTAAATTTTGAATAATGCCAGGTGACTCCCCGCGATGGCATATGGACTTTGTGGTGGTGCTGGACGTTATCAACACAAAGCCAGCATCTCTACTGAATATATCTTCTACATACTTGAAATAAACAAACAAAACAAATACTTAGGAATTTCTATTGCCATCTACCAGAGAAGAATAGTATTAAAAGTATGTATTAAAGCAGTTCTTAATGTTGTCTTTATGGCACTGAGGATATTTATCCTGTATTTGCAAACTTGCGTCACTAGCTGTGTGCTAAAGATCTATGCAAAGCTGCAATGTTTACAAATACAAAGCAATTCTTCGAAGGTGAGATGGTACAATAGAGACCTGTGTTCGAAAGGTATGAATGGTCTTTTCACCTCAAGAAATCGTTCACCAGCTTCTGTAGAATTTCGAGAGATTTTGTTGAATTACCCATTTGTATAGCTTTGTTGATAGCTATGGTATTTAATTTTGTTGCCAGCTATTATTTCTTGTGTGTTTGTCTTTTTCTTGTCACTTCCCTTTGATCCTCCTTCGAAAAAGTACCCCACAGCTCTGACATCTGAAACGCTTCGACGCCCGACGCAAAATCGACATTTTTAATGTTTTTATTATCAGCCCAATTTCAAATTGTTTCTGGTCTCGGTCACTTTAACGGGGGAGGGAGTGAAAACGGCAGAGAAGAGAGGAAACGAGGCCCAGCAGACACCGTATTAAGGGGAGTGTCAGGCGGCGCCCTGACAGTGGTCTGCCAAACAGAGACGCGTCCCACGCTGTTCGTGGAGCGTTGTGACTTCTTATGCAGGCTCGTTCTCTAAAGGACCGGGGTGTTCCGAGGTTAGCTCTGGTCTGTAAAAGCGGTACCGCTTGGATGATGGGCCAGCTCATTAGCAGCAGTGCGAATGGATATTTCTTTGTTTTCCCTGCATCCCTTATGCCGTGTGTCCCGAGCTCTGGTACCATGTTAGAGGCGGACAGGCTCAGAAGAGCCCAGGTGAGGCCTTCAGCCTGGCCGTGCTCACTTGGGGAGACCCCTGTACCTAAAGCCCCCACCCTCCCCACTGCCACCCTGGCCCATCTGCTCTGGGGTCCCCGGTGACCCCCATAGGTACCCCCCTCCCCCCTTATGCTACCCTGTTGTTATTGGGCTCAAATTTACTGCTTTTTCAAAATCTTAGTCTTTGGTGACATGCTCTGGGAAAAACAATGGGGAACAATTCAGGAGACGTGTGTCTATCAAATTAATTGTATTTTAATTAGAGTTATTACTGAATTCCAGTATTAAACAGTGATGCACCTGTGCTTTTGTTAGATTTGTAAAAGATTCAACCCCCAAGTTATTCCCTGTAAGTTGGAGGATCTCCTTATACGGCTGAATGTAGATTAACGTCACACCCAGGATGAAGCAATTGCAGTTAAGGGCCTTGCTCAAGGGCCCAACGGAGTAGAATCTCTCTGGGCATTCATGGGATTTGAACCAGTGACCTTCCAGTCCCTGGCACAGAGCCCTAGCATCAGAGCCAGCACTCCCTCCAAAAAAAATGTTAAGGTGGGCCAATTAATCGCTGTGGCATGACAGCCTTCGCTGTAATTGCACTGGAAAACATTGTACCTTATGTAAATGCAAAGCTTGCAGCAGTACATTGCAATGCAACGGTTAATGCATCATTTCTTAATGGTTTAATGCATCACCTTAGCAGATGGAGCATATTGCACTGGCCAATATTGCATTGTAGGGAAATTGCAGCTGTATGACTGAACCTTTTCCAGACATTTCTGGGGCTCCTTTGTCCTTCCAGCTGTGACGTTTACGATTTCCATCAATAACAGAAATTGTCCAATCGCAAACACTTGAAAATCTTGAGAATGTTCAGTTACCATCAGTCTGAATTGCACGGAAGAGTTCAGGTTGACGAATCATTTGTAACACTCATATGCATGCTTGGTCACACGCTACAGTGACTGTGATGTGACATGAAAAACAAGGGAAGTAAGCCCCAGGATTCCAGTGGGTCCTGTGATCTGTCTGGGGTCTTAGGGAGCCACAGGAGTGCTGCTCAGCATCACAACTGCGAGTGCCTGCCTGAGATGTTGCACTTTGAGTCATATATGCCATAAGGAAGCACTGCTTCTTGCATCTTCCAAAATGAGAAACGATACGATAAGATAGCGGGAGATGTGGTGTGAAGAAGCATTGGAAAAATATATAAATTCAGCACAAATAAACAAATGTGGATGGACGGACAGACGGACGGATAGATGGATAGATCTATCTTCGTGTTGGTTACAGTACATGGCATTATGCTTGCTTTAAAATTTGTTGTTTTATGAAAAACAAAACCAAAATTGTTGAGCTTACCTAAGCAGGTAATTAGGATCCCTCTACTGGGGGCATGTATTGAAGTTAAAGAATCTCTGACAGTATATATTTGCAGTCTACGGTGTACTGCTGCATGATAAGATTACTGTTTCCTTTTCGCCAATTAGATGTCTATGTTTGTGCCTGAGTGAGTTATGTTCAGCCACCTGCCAAATTCACGCTCTCCCAGATGGATTAAGTATAAGAAGGTAAACATCCCATCCTGAGATATCCTTGCTGGCTTCCATGGCCTGACTCACAGAAGATAATATCCGCACCCCCTGCCACTTGTGGGCACTTGAGGGGCCCCGTCAGCATTGCCATTCCGGGCGGCACGGTTCAGCCCTGCGGGTTGGAGAGGGTCGTGTGTGTTTACCCAACACCGACAGGAGATGGATGGGGGAGGGTGGGGGGCGAGTGCTGGTGGTCCTCAGACGTGGGGCCTGTGATTCCCCCCTGGTAGCCTGGACAGGTCCCTGACAGACAGGCCATGGCAGGGAGACCCAGGCAGGGAAAACAGCATCCCTCTCGATCTGGCAGCGTTCCCATGACATAACACCCCCCCCCCCCACCATCACCACCACCTCTAATCCGCTCTA